AATGAATAAATTTATTTCTAAGAATTTATAGCATTTAAAATTCCTAATATTATAATTTTATTATAAAGATTATTTTTCAAAATAATGAGGTCACTTGCGCATAAAATTTATCGCGCCTAAAATTCATGATAATAAGCAGAAATAATTATTTCATTTTATTTTTTAAAAAGAACGGATTATTTTTCAAGATAATGAAGTCACTTACCTAAAATATTTGAGAGGGAGCTTCTGATAAAAATTCGGCTAGAGAGAGGAGCTCATTGTGTTTCGACCAGAGAGAGAAAGATCTCAGAAGTTTTCTAGGGTGGGAGTCCTCGCCTCTCGTTTTTAAACTCTTACGACACCTTATTATAATATTTTGTTAAATTACATGTCATACACGAGGTGTAACCGTTATATTACCCCTTATATGTTTAAAGCCCACGTCCACTGGACGTGGCAAGGCAGGAGCAAACAAAAGAACTTCAACCAAAAGATTTTGAAAATAATGATGGTCCCTAAGGACCATCATGCTTATACGAACCATCACTTATTAAAAGTTTCCCTCTTTTTTTTTTTTGGAATTTTAGAATTATTACAATAACATATCAAATATATATCACAAAAGTATCAAATAAAAAATACAAATAGCAAAAAATAACTTCATTAGACATTAAGGGAACAAAATACAAAAACTAATGAAAAATATTGAAATATACGAACCTTCTTGAAGTGGACATTGATTTCACTCAGATCATTGCTAGCAATAAACATATCTTCAACATAAAGTAACAAAACAGTAAACGAATTATATGCTGAACCCTTTAAGTACACACAATGATCAAAATCGCATCTAGAAAAACCTTCAGTCAGCGTAAAACTATCAAATTTCTTATACCATTTTTTTAATGCATGTTTCAAACCATACAATCCCTTTTTCAACTTGCAAACCAAGATAGGATCGGTTTTGTTCTCAAAACTTTCAGGTTGACGCATATAAATTTCTTCATCAAGATCATCACTCATGAAGGCAGTTTTAATATCAAGTTGTTCTAGCTCCAAATTCATGTTAGCAACCAAAGATACTATAATAGAGCTGTGCTTAACAACAAGAGCAAACATTTCATTAAAATCAACACTTGGTTTTTTTCCATAACCTTTCACTGCAAGTTTAGCCCTATATCACATAAGATCATTTGCCTCCCACTTAATAGCATATACTCACCTATTCTTCAATGCTTTCTTCCCATATAGAAGTTCCACTAACTCCTACATATTATTCTTATGCAAAGCATCAATCTCCCCCTCCATTGCCTTATGCCACTTTTCAACATTAGGGCAATAAATAGCCTCTTGAAAAGATTCAGGTTCACCATTATTAATATACAAAGCATAATATAAGGCAGGAGAATCCCTTTGCGTGGGCTTGTGAGGGCGTATGGATCTTCTCAATTCTGGTTTGGGTTTAACTGGTAGTCATTTTTCATCTTTAATTAATTCAGTGTCATCCTCAAAACTAGCACCACCTCCATCAAAACTGTCTTGAGCTTGAGTCTCTTGCACTTGCACTGTCGAGGTGAAACAATGGGATTTGATTTTTGTATATCCATAACAAGTCTTTCTTGTTTTGGCTGTTCTTGTTTCTTTTCAGCGAACATTACATTCTCATTAAAAAGAACATCCCCTGATAGTTTTCTTTGCAATAGGATCACAAATCCTATGACCTCTATCATCACCACCATACCCAAGAAAAGCACATCTTCTTGACTTGGCATCCAGCTTGGCTCTATTCTCACTTGGCACTTGAGCATAAGCTTCACACCCAAATGTTCTCAAGTGTTCATATGACACACTTTTGCCTCTCCACATAATTTCAGGTATTTCACCATTCAAGGGTGCACTGGTAGATTTATTGATTAAATATACGGAGCTGTGTTAACAGCTTCAACTCAAAATTGCTTACCATGACCAGATTTTGAAAGCATGCTTCTTACTCTTTCAATGATGGTCCCATTCATCCTCTCAATGACATCAATTTGTTGTGGTGTCCCAAATACAGTCCTTGCCCTACGAATACCATTTCCTCTATAGAAAGTATCAAAGGCATTCGAGCAATATTCACCACCATTATCAGTTTGCAAGCATTTTATAAATCTCTTTGTTTCTTTTTCATCCTTGGCTTTGAAAACTTTGAAAACTTAAAAAACTTGATCCTTAGAGGCCAAAGGATACAACCAACACTTTCTAGAATAATCATCTAAAAAAGTGACAAAATAAGAAGCTCTACCAAGAGATTTAACATTAACAGGGCCACAAACATCAGAATAAATC